ATTTATCGAAAAACTCAGTCATTGGAACATCGACGGGGGAACACAGTGCTGCGTCAATGCTCTTATTATATACGTCTTATATATATTATATACGCTCTTATATGTATATGTACGTCACACGAACGTGTATTGAAACCTAGAACAGTAACACATGAAGTAGATTCTTCATGCCTTAATAAATTTGTTAAATTTGTAAAAAATATTACAATTTTTATTTTTACAAAAATGTTTAGATAAATATTTATTTAAAAAGAAATAGCGTTACATATACAAAATACAGTGAAATTTCATATTAATGCAAACGTTGTGTGTGGGTGTTGCCGATTGATTTAATAGGTAATTTAGTTTTCCTGAGCTGTCAGTAATTGTTGTAATAGAGAAATATTAGCACTTCTACAAATACTTAATTATAAAGTAAATAGCATGAAGAAAAATTAACTACACTCAATCAATTAGTTAGGGTATCAATAAACATTGTGTACCATAATACACAATTATCTATGAGGTCAAATTCGACATGGATTGACGCAATCCATCAAATTTCTGTTCGAAAAAGCAAAATAAATTTTATGTATTATCGCTTCTGTTGATTTTGAAACTCAAATAGATTGGTTATAATATCATAAGGTTTATTCATATTATTTAATGCAATGTGAACCAACGTCAATCAACCACTAAATGAAAATATTAACCGATTAATGGCTGGAACAAATATTGACATAAGTCATAAATGATGTATGCTTTATTGCTACTTATTTTGGAAGTCTGTTTACTATATTAGCAAAATGTAAATATCTTGTAGCGAAATTGCCCTAATTTATTAGCGCTGTAATATCAATTTCAGTATTTATTTATTGAATAAAACCCAAGCTATAGATACAATGAATTGTGTTATTGTGTATATTCTGTACAGTAAATAAATGAACTGATGTCATATTCTCACTCTTTGACAAAAAAGGATAAATAAATAATTACTTTATTAATAAGTACAATAACACAATAATACAATAAGAATATATTGCCAAAATAATACAATAATAAATACAAATAAATGCTATTTGCTTAATTTAAACACAATTGTATCACAAACAACGAAAATTATAATATTAATAAAAATTATTATTAATAATATTTTGAGGCTTTGTTTAACAATTTAAAAATTTTATGCAAATAAACCAATTTGACAATAAATGTAGATAAACTGCGTTCCACTTACGTTGTTTATTATATATGTATAAAATAAGTACATATATACCATATATAAAGAGCGATTATAATGTGGATTTTCTCTGCTTTCAACAGAGATTAAATTTACTTATATAAATAACATATATGCGAATATATTTTTACTATATATGTATATCTATTATTCATGCCTGAACTCAAAAAAGAAAAATTAATCGGAAATAAAAGACACTTCAGAACATACCCATTAATAAATTTTTGTGTATAAATAAGTTATGAACTTTAGATCGTAAAAGTAATAAATTATACTAATTGAATTGATATACAGATAAATCGCTTTAATAGATAATAACTGTCAGTGTACATTTTTTTTCACTGAAGTAGTGTAGATAAAAACGGAAAGTATATAAAATGAGATTATATTAGTTTTGTACTTTTTTTAAATTTTGACATGCTTTTTAAATTAATTTAATTTTATAACAATATTCACTTTAAAAAGCTTATATTAATCATTTATTATAGCGCTATCAGTTCAGCTTTTATAAAAAGTTATGATGTGAGTTCTAAAGAAAGAAATAAATTATTCTATTTTAGTGCCTGGTTGAGACTACTATATTACGATTTTTGTTGTGAAGATAGACGCCAGGTTTATATTTATCATGATAAAATAGCTTAGTGAAGATGTAGTATGTTTAACTAGGTTAAATAGAAGAAGGAGGAAGCAAATTAAGGGAGTCGTTTTGTTTTCAAATTCCTTATAATAGGGTTGAACGTTTAACAAGAAGTCGGACACATTGATTCAAGCAAGTATTCAACTGATTTTTATATTGAAGTCATTGTGGAGAGAGAAAGTGAGTTCAGATTAGTTGCATATCCAGAACTTAGATACATCAAGACTTATTTTACTTTTTTCTGAATAGGTAAATGAAAAAGTTGAAAGTTCTCCAATATCTCTCTTAATAGTATATAGAAGTAAATTTGTTATTACAAATATCAGCAACCAATTTTTAGCTATTGGGTATTATAAAAAGTAATAAATAATCACCATCAGTGATTAATGAAACACTGTTGAAAAGTTGAACGCAACAAAATTAAACCATCTTTGAAGTCAATCATTACAGGCGATGAAAAATGGATTAAATACGAGTATATTCAATGCAAGTTACCATGACCAAACACCGGAGAACCTTTACAAATGACTTATAAGGCCGGATTGACGGCTAACAAGGTTATGTTAGTCTTTGGTATAATAGGAAGGAAACTCTTTATTACGAACTGCTTCAAACAGGTGCAAAAGTTAATTCGGTCCTCCACTGCTCACAACTCGACCCCTGGAATGAACAAATCAAGGAAGAGTGACCAGAATTGACACACAGATCAGACGACACACATCTTTGATGACTGGGAACAAATTGACAAGAATTAGTTGAGAAGTTTTTATGTATCCATCGTAGAGTTTGGACCTTGTACTATCTGCCTACCATTTGTTTCGTTCTCAGAAAACTATTTTTAATGTTAACAAATTGACCAACTAAAGTTCCGCTGAAATGTAGTTGGTGAAGGTTTGGGCCAGTAAATATCAGAAGTTTTCCAACGATGAAATTGTGGCGTTATCTAAGAAATAGTAAGAGGCTATGAATAATAATGGCCAATATATACTTGATTAAAATTAATTTTCAATGTAGAAAATATTCTTAAAAAGTGTAACAAAACACTACGTTTAGTAAATAGTAAATTATTTTATAATGACATTCTACCAGTATTCATCGCTATGAGAAAATTCTCAGAAATTACTAATGACTGAAAAGATGTATAATTCGCAGTACTTTATAAAACTCAACACACATTTTTGAATGATGTCATCACTTACATTTCGTATTCTCAATATCTTTCATTGAAGTTATTAAGTTGGACATTGAAAATGTACTCAGTGCGAATAAAAATAAATCAATTGTATTAAAAGCTGAACTAAATATTTAAAAAGAATTAGTTAATAATAAACTTGTTAAATTTTGATTTTGAATAAGAAATTCAAATGTTGCAAGGCTGAAGGTGATAAACTTTAATTCAAACAGATTTAAGCTTGTTATTATTATTAATGAAAAAATGGTTTATGTGCTGTATCTGTATCTTTGTAATATAAGACTTCTGTCATAAACTTCAAATCTTGATAATAGTCTGAGGTGTTAAGTGCTGAGTTTTAGTTTCAAATTAAGTTTTGTTGAAGTTCTTTGTGTTTGAATCAATATAGCAATAATTCAAAAAATAATATAATACATAAATTAGTACTGCAAAAAAGATATATGTTTTCAAAGTCCTTCTATACGCCTTGACTGGATTATTGTTTATATAAAAATTATCTAACAAATTTCGTTACCCAGCGTAATTTCTCAAATGTTTGGGAAATTTTGGATATTTAAGATATTTATGTCCAGCACAAATTTCTGTTGCAACATTTTGACAATTACGAAAATGTTGATGGAAAAATAATATTTTATTAGAAAATATAATAATTTTGATTTGAAATGCCTCAACTTAGGACGTGTGCGAGTTAGGCTAAGTTGCGTTCTAAATGAGGGAAATTCTAAGTTGTGTCGATAATGTATTGATGTGTCGATACGTGTTGATAAATGGCAAAATGTGTGCAGTGCAAAAAAACCCACAAAATCTCCCATTTGGTTTAGCATCAACTTAGCCTAACTCGCACACGACCTTAATTACTTATTTTGCAATAAACAATTTGTTATTATACTTTGTTTACTTGAAATTATTATTCTGTGAACAAATTAATTACTTGGCGACTGTCCGCTTTGTTAGAGTAATCGAATCACGTATGCGTAGCCATAATTCGAAGTGAGGTTAGCGCTGCAAAAGTAAAAATTATGTCATGAATCTGAGATTGGGTGTGACTATTCAATCCCATAACGATGTGAGACGATTTGTGGCTTAGTTGTTAGTTTAAATAATTTATAATTAATTAAAGTAATAAGCAGTTGGTAAATATATGAGAATGAAATAAAAATTCTTATTTTAATTTGGGATTATTCTCAACTAAGTTAGGTTAGGTTAGAGTGTTTCGAAGAGCGTTTGATATTGGCCTGACGGAGTAAACGCAAGCAGACTTATCGGATATTCACTTTGACTTCACTTTGAAAATCAAACAGTTTAACAAAGATAAAACATGAAATCATATTGGAAGCGATGGTTACGATATGGTTCTGGCTTTTTTAAGGGCATCACAATGGCCAATAGTTGGCTTTAAAACTTACTTAAAGTCAACTTAAGTTCAAGTAGAGATTTTTGAACCGAAGCTCATATAACGACCCATTTGGCGTTTGGTGCCATAGATAGACTTAATTCGTACATCATACCTGAATTTGAATAATAAACAATTGTGATGCCATTGATGGATGTTATTTTTACACCACATCTGAAGGTCAAACAAAAATATAGAAGACCAAAATAATCAATGCACGGAAAGTGTAGATTTGAAAGGGTGTAGTCTATATATACAGAAATGTATACAATTGTCGTTTCCGTTTAGCTTAGCTAGTTTCATGGCGTAATTTATATAGACTACTATATAATAATAAAAACAAAAATAAAAATTAATCTATAAGCACTTATTTTCTATTCACATCAGCCCTTTTTCATCAAATAAAAATTTTTATTTTATTTATTAATAACCTTCCTGCAATATAGCTGTCCGGTTTTCTCGAGAAGTCGACAAAAATATTTGAGGGCTGTCAGTTTTACCGGACTGAAGCACATACTTGAGGTTTCTATTGAAATCCTAATAAAATTCGCTAATAACAATGGGCCTTAAAAGGTTTACGCGTGACCCTTTTGGTCTTAGGTTATGCTGGCAGACTAACCTACTAATATCCTTATATATTAAAAATATATTATAAAAGGCATTATTTGAGAAATTAACGCTTTCAAAAACAATATTAATTTTTTTTATAATGGGATTTATTGGAAGGAAAACTGGATTCAGGAAAACTGGAAACAATAGTATACTATCGAAAATTTTCTAAATCATTGAAAATGTTTTAATCGTAATCAGTTTCGGCTATTATTACAATATATCCATACAATGGCTTATATCACAGAATAATGAAAGACAAAATTAGTAAGTGAAAACAGTGTTCCTTCTAATAAATAATTACACATTATTCTTATGTATTCTTATGTATTATGTGTTTATGTATTCTTAAGTACTGTTAATTTTATGTAGAATTTCATCTTTAATATGTCAGTTGGAGTATATATAAATGATGCGCTGATTATCTTCTATCTTCGCTTCAATTACATGTTAAAAATTTACAAATTCTATTTTATTGTGTTTAAGTACTCTTAGAAAAACTATTGTATACCAAAATTTAATAAACAGCAAAATTACTTATTAAGTTAATAATACTGTATATCTATTTCATTAACGTTGTGAATGTTTTTTTATTCAAAAGCATTAGTTTTTGTCATCTATTATATTCTATGCTTACTAAATTGCTTCTAAATAGAAACTAGAGTTCCCTAAATTATCTTTCTTAACTATCAGTTGCCGATTCGTATTGTGCTGTGAAGGTTTTATACTTTTTTATGAATAGATCTGTATGAGAGGCTAATTGAAGTGAAATTGGTTTATTTCCACAGGTCTTCATACTCACTATAGTCATTCTTATCGAAAATGTATCTGATCACAGCTACACAAGCCAAGCAATGTTGGTTTGTGGCACATTATCAGGTTATATGATTATTTGCAGCGCATTACTAATTGGTAATTATAGATATTATATTGAATTCTTTGGCTTAATCGTATTTGGCTGTTGAATTAATGAAATCAATTAATTTCACTAAATTTCATTATAATTCTATTTATCTGTTAGGCCACCTGCTAGGCACTCCAACGCCTGTAGATAAACGTATTGATTTGCTTTTCAGCATTGGTGCCTGCATTATGTTTGTATCTTCTGGCGCAGTTATTGTAGACCAATGGAGTACGGCGTACACTTCTAGAAAAGACAAAAATACAATTATAGCTGCTGGAGCGATGGCCATAATTACTGGGGCCATTTTTATAGCCGATACACTTGTTATATTTCGCAGTTAGATTTTTCGCTTTTAGAAATATATATAATTATCTTATTTATTATATTAATTGAATTAAATAAAACAGAAATTGATAAATTTAACAGAAACTGATCTAATTTATTTCCTAGAAATCTGAACATAATTATCTAAAGAATTATATAATAATTTTTTCAATTTTTTAAGGTGATTGCCGTGGTCTGTATTATCTTATGGGAAACTGTTGGCACGCTCTCTAGTCGATACATGATCGTATGCGGTACTGTTGCTGGTTTCACAATTATCTGTGCTGTCTTATTCATTGGTAAGACTTGCTATCAAAATTCTATACTTTATTCTATTTAGTTAAATTAATAAAAAAATTTGAATCGTTGCTAAACAAGTTCTTGAATTATTTTTCAGGTCACATTCTGGACTCACAAGTTGAAAAACGCATGAACGCTCTATTTTCTATAGTCGGTTGTGTGCTCTTCATCATCTCTGGTATCTTAGTAATTGAACAATGGCAGGATGATAAATGGTTTGGATTCAATAAAGAGAACCGTCGTTATGCTCTAGCTGCCGGATCGTTGATGATCATTAATGGTGTCATCTTCCTTTTGGACGCAATATGCATTTTTAGATCGTAATTTTCATGTCTAATTTATTTAATTTCAATAACAGATCTTCTTTCATACAACAAGAAACAACTCTTCAAGAACAGAAGCATCTTTTATATTATTATATATATGTCCAAAAAAATCTCAAACATAAGTATCACTTCATATGCACATACATACTCCACAAGAAATTTAAAAAATCTCATATCAATCACTATAAGATGCATCGCAGAGGGAAGAATTTAATCTTCAAAAACTTAAAGAAGCAGTCCTTGAAATGACTTTATATTCTGACATTAAATTTAAATAAACTTTTCTATATACATCCCTTGTATTCTGTGTTTATATTGATAATTACAATATTGTATTTGTATATATATATTTATATATATGTGGCTGTAGATGTGTATGTGTATATGTTGTTTTTGTATTTGTATCTTAGTCTATTTATATATGTATTTTATATATAAAGATAACGCTTTTTGCAAAATAAGGAATTTCTCTTTTAATTATCAATAAAAAGTATTTGTACGAGTAATGAAGAAAGCTTTTTTACTGTCTTCACTTGTCTTTTGATGTACATGACAAATATGTTTCGGTACTGGTCTAGACATTTAAAATACCACAATTTTATAGTCGACGCTATTTTTTATACTTTAAAACTTTCTTTTTACAGTCGAGTGGAAGTGCCTGTGATAAGAGATGTCCCCAAAAATAAGCTTGAAATTAATCGCTTCTAGACGTTGCATGCGATCTTTTAAAGAACGTGGGTTTTAAAAGATCGCACACTGCTTTGAAACGAACCAAGCACTTGTTGACTAATTTGTAAGAAACCGAATGTGATATATATTATTTAGTATTCATAAAAAAATATACAAATCGAAATAAAATACAATTATTAAGAAATTTTAAAGATATTTAAAATTGCTTTGGAACTCCATTCAATGGAGAGCATGCTCGGAAATGAAATGAATCAACAGGTTATTTGGTAGAGTATCATAATAAAATGAAAATACGAACCTTGTGATCGAAAATTGAATTGACTGTACAGATCTGAAGTCCAAATATGCAATACATATATATCCTGAATTTATATCCGATTGACAATATAGTTTAGACATATTTCAGTTCTAGCTATAGGCTTGTTCTTAGATACGTTTCGTTACAATATGTTGAAGTCGTGTGGTGATAAAAGTTAAAAACACTTGTTTACAATCATCAAAATGCATACATTTAACCTTTTTTTTAAATAAACGACGTGGAGGGTATTTGCAGGATCGATAGTAAAATAATTTTAATTTGCATTTAACTTGAGTTAATTATTTTCGTACAAAGTAAATATTTTAATTCCTTAGTAGATTGTAAATTAAAGTTAAACGATATATGGTATATAAAAAATAATAAAATGATTTATTTAGTATATTTTTTTGTTTTTCGTTTAATTTAATGATAATAGGATATACTTTAATGTTACAATTGTTAATGAGAATCAGTCGTAATATCTTTGCCAAGAGTGTTTTTATATAAAATTGTGATATTTACTACATACACAGTTGTATGTTGCTATTTAATAAAGTTTACGTAAAAATTTCAATACTTTCATAGTTTAAAAAACTTATTATAATTTCGGAATTAAAAGTATTTAAATATTTAAGTAAATTAATTTAATATCAACTTCCAAATATTTATGGAATTTATGGAATAATATCAGAAATTGTTGCATACTTTTTAGCTGTGTTTTAAATTTTAAGTTTGCTGGAATTTTTTAGGTATTATTTTTACGATATTCATAACACATTTACAATAATATTTTTTAAACTCATTATCTTTATTAGATTAATAACTGTCCTTGATTCTTTAAGTTACAGCTGGCGATCAATACGTCATAATATTATTCTGTTCCATTTTCTTCAAATAGCTTTTTATACTTTGAACTATAGTACCATTTTGTGGGATTAGGGCTGGATGTTTGTATTAGATATACCCTAGAGGTTTGTTTGTAATTTTAGTTGTCATGATTGTGATTTTAGTTGTCAATTAATGTTGCTGTTAATACAAAATTAAGGTTTTTGACAGTTGAAATTACAAACAAAATTCTCGTGTGATTTCAGTAGTAGGTTGTCATTGACTAAAACCGTATATAGAGACTATGTTAAACTCTTTTGTATTTTAATTAAAATAGTTAAAACAATTCATTTTAGTAGGATCATCTTTATATGAACAATTAGGTAAATATAGCTTTGTTAACATAGTGTAAGCAGAGTGTTACTGGAGCATTGCATTTGGATTTCATCTTCTTAATGTCAACTTCCCCTAGTGGCTTATAGGACCGCACATCATTTGGTTTTTGTGTGTCTTAACTAAAAATATCTAAGGCACTGTACAAATACACCATAAAGTTGAATACATTAGACTATATAAAGTCCACACTGATGCGGCTACAGACCATCTTGTATGTTAGGAGTCACTTTAAGTACATATTTATGTGTTGGTTACAATACCTGGTTAATCGCTTCATTTCTGTTGCTTATTTTATCCGTACATAATCACAACTAGTTACTTCTTTCGAAGATTTCATAAGAGGAATAAGTGCTGTTATTTTTAGAATTTCATCGATCAGAATATAAAGTTGATTGCTTCAATTATTGTTGCTGGTGACCCCATATTTAATTATTAACTTTTGTATTTGAGGAGTAATTCTAATCTCTGAGGATTATTTTTAAAGTACTGGTAAGAGTGTTCGGATTTGAATTACACAGCTAAATGATCTTATCAGTTACATTTTGCGTAATATTCTAGTCCCTTTACAACACTTATTATATACATCTATTTTGTATTTATTCGTAACTGTTAAGAACAAGAAAAACTCTGTACGATGACGAAAAAACGGTAAATAATACTTTATTTAAATTTATTAGCAACGTTAGTTGTTTAATCACTCCCGGCAAGTACCTTGTCCTTTGAATATTCATGCTATTCGTCATTAAATTTTGGGTGGATATAAACGAAACACGTCTGATTTATTGCAATAGATTGATGTGATATTTCTAGATTTTACTTAATTGCATATGGAGGGAGCATGGTTGGAGGGGTTGGAATTGATTAGGTTAATAAGGCAAGGCTGCCAAGAGAAAGAGTTTCTATGGACATTCTAATTTGTGTAGCGATGCAAACCAAAACAGTGTTGGTAATAATACAGTTATTACAACTATTACACTTAACAGAATTAAAATTTTTTACCTGAGAAACCTGGCTTTGTGCAATTTCTAGCTGGCGTATAGTAGTGTTTGAGGCCTACACACCCATATAGTGACGATCGAATTGCTTTCCTTTTCGATTTTCGCTGTATTTGCTCGTTCATGTGGGTAAGTAGGTCTTCTTGGTTTCACAACTGTCTGCATCGTTTTATTTTTCGGAAGAAAATATTTCCGAGATTATTACGTATTTCTAATTATTTATTTTTATTTATTTAATTCTAATTATTAGTACATAATTTATTGAATTAAATTTAAGCTTATGTTTGGGGCTCATAAATTGGATAATCAATCCAATAATCTATAATACATAAAGAGTATAAAAGTTTTGATAAAGTCAAAATTAATATTTTCTCGTTTTAAACTTTTTAGTAAAAAAATTAAGTTGAAAAATAATAAAAACAAAATTTTATAATTATTTTTTAAATAATATAAATTTAAATATTATAAATTTACTCAAAATTTATAACTGTCGATTTGAATACATTTTGAAATCAGCTGCTTGCAACCAATTTTTTGTTGAAGCACTTTATCGGCTATGCTTTGACACAACGCACAACGGAGAAACTCGTGCAAGGAGAGAGAGCATTAGTAGTAAATGCTAAAGTCGAACAGCTTAGTTGTAAGAGCGAATGCTGAGCTGAAAACAACAATGTGAAGATGAAGTTGCACACAAAGCAACAAGTATAGCAGACCAACCTGCAAGAGAAGACTTGATCTCTGAGTTGTCGTCTCGGCTGCTACTTTGTCAATAAGATTTGCTCAGCAAGCATGTACGACGTTGTTTTGTTCAGCAGGAAGCAGTCAAGTTTTGACGGTCGTTCGTAGAAGTTGTGTTGATTTCTGCAGCCGAAGAATGAAGTCAACAAACGTTTTTGAAGGAATACTTTTCACGATTTTATAAATAAAAATTAAAAACAAACGAAATACATATGTGTGCTAATATGTAGTTAAATTTATTAATATTTAATTAAATTTCAAATAAAAAGTGTTAGAGAAAATCGTTAAAAGTTGATATATTATTAATACGAGTGCAACATTAAAAAACTATATATTAAATAATATAAATTAATTTAAAAAATAATTGAACAGCATAGTTCAGATAATACATATATAGTGAAACTTATGTCGTATTCAACACATATCTTATTTATTTTAAAAAAAACTGGGTTGTTATTTAACGTAAGTTATTTGTTCTGCTATACCATTCCAATCATTTTAGTTGGTAGCAAAACTGTACGCATTGCATTTAATGTTGTGATTTATTTCAAATTTTAATATTATTTATCTAAAGTAGCATTTTGCTTAAAAAAAAAACAATCAAAATTTTCTACAAATTAAAAGAAGTCAAATTAAAATTTTATGTAAACAAAAGATTGTTTCATTTGACTCGAATTCTATGTCTTTTCGATTGTCTATGTTTGTTTTCATATTTAAATATATATATATATGTTTGTAATCATTTTTTCAAACTCTTATATGATTTGACAGTCAACGATGAAAGACAACAATACTCTGTTCCACTCCTCTTCAGTTCAGGTTAGTTGAATCTATATATTAATCCACCTCATCCGCGTCATATTTTTTTTCGGTTTTATGTTTTTCGATTTTTAAGACATGTCGCGGGTGGCGCTGGTCGTCGTTGCTTATGGCACCATAACACCATAACAGCAACAAAGAAATAAGATATCAAGTGCATTCACACTTGAAATCTGAATCTGAAATAAAAGTAAAAAGTGCGATTTTACTAAGAATTTTGTAGAATATTCGCACCCAAGGGGCAAAAGGCTTTAGCCGTTTTTGATTACTAAATCCAAACAATACACAAAACAGAACAGAGCAGAACAGAGCAGAACACAACACACAACAACACAACACAACAAAACACCAACAAACCCAAAAGATTTATGAAAAATCATTCAATATATACAATACATAAAAGTCATAATATTAAATAAAATAAGAAAAAATTCACTTAAAAATAAAATTAAAAATTTTAAAAGAAACTTGATTGTCTACGTTGCAAGCTAAGCCAAGCCGTAGCAAAGTCGTGGTTGCAGATACTCACTCACTCACTCACTCACAAGACTTGTTGATTATTTTTTTATTTTAATTTTTAATTTTTCGCTTTTTTGTATGGACCGATTGACTCTAAGTCGATGTGGTGGTACCCTAAGTATCTTTTCTTGGCTTGTTTCTGTGTCTACTGTTGTTGTCGTTTTTGTTGTTTTTGTTGTTGTGAATTGTGCCACTTTTATTTTGGCCAAAAGGAATTGAAAGTTATTGAGCTCAATTTTCGTTAATAGCGCAAAAAATCCAATGTTGAAATTTATCTAAAAAAAACGTACTAAATATTGAATTAAAAAACACAAGAAAAAGGAAGGAGATTTGAAAAAAATTAGTTAAGATATTTGAGCATTTTCAAGGAGAAGTGTTAACAAGTGTTACCGAAATTGTGATTTTAATTTTATTTAACAATATTTCGAGAAGAGAAAGCGAATATACGAGAACTTACTTTTGCAACATCAAACTGGTAAGTAAAATATTTATGGTATTACAATTGATTTATTTTGAAATATAAATGAATTATCATTACAATTCTAACAAATTTTAGAATCCAGAAAAATATAGTTATATGATATGACAAAAATCTTATAACTGAAAATATATTATACTATATATTATGTATACTATTATATGTTGTTTTAATCAATCCATGTTTGATTGTTATTACATTTAATATAAAAAATTCAAAACTTGATATAAAAATGATTTAATATTATTCCAATATTAGTGAACTAGTACATAAAGGATAGAGCCCTGAAATTAATTACGAAAACTGACAGGCTTACTAATACCGCGTTATCGAATCTCCAAATGGTTACAGGTTCTTCGGAGAGGTATGCAGTTCTGAGGACAATTATTGCTTAGTCTGATGAAGTGATAAACAATAATTCAGTAAAGGTGTAGAAGGGGGTTATGAAGAAAATTGCAGTTAATAGAGAGCAAAAGTGCTCAAGTGCACTGACTCAACTAGCCTCAATATAATAATAGTGCAGTAGTGTAGGTGATATAAATATAGTCAAGTGACGCATCATTTAAAAGTGTAAAGAATTTTCGAAATTAGAATATGCCGATTGATTGAAAATTTTTTTCAAGGAACTCTGCTCGAAGGTTTCAATAAAGGTTTTTACTTTCTTAAATAACTTGTTGTCTATTTTATAAAAAAACAAAAGATTCTCCCTATATATAAGGAGTAAAACTAGTATAAACAATTTTTCTTTCAAATCAGTCATATCATTTCAACAAATTTACAAATTTTTTCCTTTTTAACATTTTTTTCAACTTTTGGATCAAGTTAATAAGTTAATGTTAATGAGAGCTTAATCTAGAGACGAGATTTTGACACATTACTACGGGCTTATATGTGTAAAAATTATATTATATGAATATATATGAATATAAGGTACTTTTTATAGGAGCGCTACAACAGATTTTTTTTGAAGCAGTAGGCAGAGTTATATCTTTTTCAATTAAAAACTCAGATATATTACCATCATTCTTAGTTCCTATAAATTAGTTTAGGTCAGAAATGCTTTTTAATATATACTTTCGATGCTATTTATATTATATAATTATTGATATATAGAAAGATTATAGACATTATTTATTACACTGTTTTTTTGTTTTTTGTGGAGATGGAATATTTTCAAATTTTTTTTAATTTACACAAATTAAGAAAATTCAACTCTTTTTTTAAAATATATAGCTAAAATATAACTGCAATAATATTATTAATAATTACTTGTACTTATTATATTCTAATGCGTATATATAATTTGATTTTATTAACCGTAAATAAAATTTTTGCAATAAATTTTTGGGTATATTTTTGTTTTTTGGTCATTACTACTCGTAGATCTCATATAATCTGAATAAATTAGAAATCGTATAAAAGCAACGCAAGAGAAAATTGAATGATGAGACTTAAAATTTTAATTCTTAATTAAAATTAAAATTAATCAATTTTTATTTTTTGTCACAATTCTTATCATATCGTATTTCATGGTTTCTTTTGATGGCCTAATAAAAATGCTGTTTTGTTCACAGTTTTCAAATCAATTTCGCTAAATTTCTTGTTTTAGAATCTGAGTTATAGAAAAATATCTCAGCCTCACGCATGTAAACGATATTTTAATAAAAAAAATGTTCATATCAAACATGGACCAGATCAGACTTGACTAGAAAGTTGCTGGTAATTTTCTTTTTTGAAATGTCTTAATGTCAAAATTCTTTTTTGTTTTAGCTTTTTAATGTGATTTCCTACCAGAATAACATGCTGCCAAAGCAAAATCTATTTAGTTATAAATTAATGACATTCATTTGCATTTGTACGTATAGATCTTTGTAAATTATGTATGTCAACTTATGAATAGGAAAAGTTGTTAGGGAAAATATTGCAGATTTACTAACTAAAGAATGAATTTAATTCAATATTTCAATGAAACAAACGTATTCGTAGATTAATCAAAAAAAATAAAATTATTTTATAGAAATTAAGAAAACTGCTATTCTATTATCCCATTACTTTGGATTATAATCATGTACGTATAACTTCTTCCATAATTTGTATGGAGACATAAAAACGCTTCCTAAATGGCAAGACCTTAGTGTTCAGAATTTTTGATGAAATTTCGGAAATACTTGTAAAGCTTGCAGTGACCAGTAAATAATCAGATTGAGTCCTTAAATCGATCTTGCTTAGCAAAAGGACGTTTGCTGCTATGTTGGTACAAATATGATTATATGTATATAATATCTGCTTACTTACTCAGTTGGCTATTACAGACATGAAACGTTCTTCGTTGCGTCCATCAGCTTCCCTTGGCCAGTCTTATAAAAGGCTTGTTGTTTTAAGTTGGGTAGTTCCGTATGCCTTCATATCATTGATCACCTGGTCTTCCACCGAATATGCGGACGTCCTTTATCACGTTTTCTACTAGCGGGTACTAAATCAAATATTTTTTTATCTGAAGTATTTTCATCAATTCGGTGCCACTTAACTATATGCTCACAAACTTAACTATGTCTATGTCGCGGTATAGCTTCTGCAACTGATGGTTTTACTTTATTCGATTTTCGTTATTAACGCATTTGAGACTATAGATTATTCGATAAGTTTTTCTCTCGCATGCCATGAATGCGCACTGATCACTGTTGGTTATAGTTCTAGTTTCTGTTGCATACAGCAAGACAGACATGAAAAAGACTTGTAGAGCGTGTCTAATGGTTGTCGGGAAAGGCTTTTATTTCTCAACTTCCTACTTGGGTCGAAGTAATATTTATTGACTAGAGTGATTCTTTGTTAAATGTTTAGGTTGGCGTGGGAGTCATGCTGATTCCTAAATAAATAAGGTCCTTCAGAGCTTTGCATTTAAAATTGTTAACAGTGACGTGGTAGAAGTAATTAATATATGTATATAGTATATATATAATATATTAAATATCTTATAGAAGTATTAAGTATTATATTATCGCGTATGGCGGTGGTATATTTTACGAACGTTTTTTAAAAAATGAATTTTAGATTCTCTTTTTATTGATTTTACGTTGTTTTTTTTTAAATTACGAGTAAAAATTAGTTTTTTTCTACAAAGCAGAGTAAATATTTCTGTTTTCGGGGCTTCTCTGTTTCTTATCATCTTTGAAATAAAATACAGACAAGGAATAAAGTAATTTATAAAAATAAACCACGCCTTCTATTTTAAATGCAATGTGTACAATTTGAAGAATTTTCTAGTAAATATCAGTTCTCAGAGTTCATGGTCCTCTGCAAAGTATATAAAAAAGGTTTCGTAAGTTTTATGCTTCTGTATCTTTTTTCAATTAGAAATCACTAAAAATATTTATAATTACTCCCATTATTTTTCATTATGATTATTACCATTTCGCCTGATTATCATTCGGAACAGTTTCCTTCTGCTTCTTCAGTTTCTATCTATTACCTTTCATGAAAATAAAAAGATACTTCGCATATGTTTTGTCTTGGTGCTGTTCAGTTTTCTGCTGCCGGTTTGTTCCAGGTTGTTGTGCTTCGGTTTCTGTTGTTTTGATTGTATTTTGGTGCTTTGTTTCTATATCCACGAGCACTGGTCAATACATGTTATCCACAATGGCTGGTAATTTCTTTCAAAGCCTAACATTCTCAGTATGTTTCTACCAAAACTAGAAGATAAAAGATCATTTAAGCTTATATTTTTTCGAGATAATTTTTTTTCCTCAGTGCTGAGCTCATCTTTTAAGCACTTTTTATCATTTATTTGTAACTAGCTTCGAAGTTCTGTGGTTGTTTTGCTATTGTTGCATTTTAAAGTGTTATTGGAGTCGTGCACGAATCTTTTACAATAGGCAATTTACGAAGTATAGAAAACAAAATTATAAAATGAGAAAAGAAAACAAACAACAGAAAGTATCTTAACGTACATAAACAATAGCATGCCGAACTGTTGCGATTCGAATCAAATCAAAACAAAAACAACAACGCAAGACCAGCAATGATCAATTTCGAAGCTTACAAACAACCCGCCGAACGCCGAATGGTTTCTGAAATTTCTATTTAATTCTATTGAAGAGTTGCGATAATTTATCCTTATGAGATTTGTTTTAGGTTATATGGATTTACATTTTCAGTACTTCTACTAAGTTCAACGGGAAGCTTCATGTCTAGAACGTTTTAAGTTCCACCTCAATATTATTGATCAGTTTTCTCAGACAACAACCTCACCGGTAAAATTTTCAGAAAACATTATTTATATTAAAGTTTTCGAAAAGTTCTTTTTTATTTTATCAGTAAGCTAATATCTTACAAATATATTTTCTTACAAAACAGTTATTTTTATAATCTACTTCTAAAACAAGCTAAATTAAAGTACTTTTTCTGATATAGTAGCTAAGACAATAATAATCACAGTACTCTCTCTTTTCCTGATGATAATGGTATGCATGCTTTCCATTTAAGAGTGGATAAAAGAAAAAAGAACTTTTTCAAAACTCCAATATAAATAATGTTTTCTAAAAACTTCACCTGAAAAGTTCTACTCTAAGAAAACTGAATAGTAATATTGCTTCACTGGAGTTGAGATAGAACTTGAATGAATCTACTACCTCAAAGCAGTAGAACACGAACTAAGAGATGCATATGTTTCTTGATATGTCTGGTAGGATATTTTCAAAACAAAGGCTGTATGAACTACCTAGAAAACGGAATTACTTATATATCCCAAAATTATGAAGTAACAGTTTTGACATGCACATTCTGTTCTTTAACAACTTTTTTCAGTCTAGTGTGATATACCGAACAAACATTATCTTAAAGACCAAAAGTCACTTAAGTGTTGCTCACATATTTCTTTTTATTGTTGCAAATTTCATATTAAAATATTTCTGATTAAGTTTGCATTTCTTGATGGTTCATGATGTTGGCTATAAGAAGAGCTTATACTCGTATCATCATAATTTTTATAAGGAATTTTT